GTTAAGGACATCACAAAGTACATGTACCTTTCGTTTTAGCAATTGGCTTGTTGCTTCAAGAGGAGATTTTGGAGGTCTTGAATTCCTTTTCTCTGCTGCTCGTTTTTGCCTCTTTTCCTGAAATAATGATCTATTTAGGTTGAAGCATAGCGATTCAACGGCAAAATCTTTACAATTAGCATGTAGCTTCAAGAGGAAATTTCAAAACCTCTATTTATGAATTGATTCATTCAGAAAGACGCCACAAATCAACAACGTTTATTTGTGATACGGTAATAATGGTGGATTTAAAAGTAGCAAATCAATGGATACACAAGCAATAGATAATGGAAAAATATAAAGTGAGTACCGCTTACATAGCATGATAGCAGCTAAAGCATAAATGGCAAACTAAATTTACCAGCATTATCAGCTAGCTATTTGTATATCCAAAACCAAGAATAATTTTGTTGTTTCAGATCACAAACCAAAAGCAAATTGAAAACCTCATGAAATAAAACTATAAAACCATGTGAATAACCTAATTTTCCTATTTCCATGTAAAAGAAAGAGCATAATTATATTATCTCTCAAGAAGGAACAAGCATAGCTCAAATAATCAACTTTCTTTCAATAGTTAAATTCTAATGCCGGCTAAAAAATTGCAAAATATTACCCTTTAGAAATAATTCTTTCAGTGATACTAAGTAATCATGATGACAATGATCATGTAGATCAAAGACAACCAATTAAATAAGAACTCGGTTCTTTATATGTAAACTTGAAAAAATAATAAAATCTCAAACCAAATGATACCGTGATAGCTTATTAAGTCAAAGAAATAAACATGAAACTGAAAACACAAAAAATAAAGATAACCAAAATCTCAATGATCAAACACAACTTTTTTTGCTATAGTAAGAATTCAATGATCCATCAACAGGTTGTGGAAAATAGGTGTGTAATCAAAGATGTGAAGCTCTCTGAAATAGCAATAAAAAATAAAGCATATGCATTTTGACTGTCATAGCTTCCACATGCCCTTTTAAGCATCAATGATCACCTAATTTCTCTTTTACACTTCATAGCCACCATAAAAAGCATCATCATAGAAAAGAAATAAAAATGAAAATGCTCACAAATTTTGTATATAGTTGTTCTATCGAGAAATGCTTGAATCAAATACATCTCTAGCCTTTACAGGTAAGACAAAGTTCCAGTTTTTATTCTTTGGATGTGATGAGAAAACAAATGGATCATCTGCCCATCTATCACCTCTGTGTATTAATGGTGAAAAGTTAACCAACATATTTCTATAATGATCTACTTTAGTGCCAACTGAAATTGTGTTAGCCCAATCACACTTGAAGAGGACCACACGAAATAAGTTGGAGTAACTAAGCTCAATAATATCATTCAGTCGACCATAATAAGAAAAACTTCCAACTTCAGTTTTGTTAACAATGCCATAATTTTGTGTCTTCTTGTTCTCCTCATGAGCTTTAGTATGAAATTCATTCCCATTTATATAAAATTCTTTAAATCTTATTGCGATTTGCTTAGGACCAACCGCGAGGGCACTAATTTCTTCTGAAACTATTGAATCATCTATACCTGTAATCTAAACAAAAAATTATTAGTCAAATTAAGCATATGATATTGAAATTGACTAAGGAGAGATTTTGATATCTTACTCTTCGTTTGAACCAATCATGAAAATGTGCATTAACAAGTTTATCAAGAGCTAATGGCGTTAGAGGAAAGCTGTTGGCTCTTTTTTGTCTCTCTTCCTCCTTGTACATATCAATATACTTTGTTAAATGATTACAATGTCGGAGCACATATCTATGTCCTTGAATCAATGATAGGTCATCTAACACAAATATAGACACTTGACCCAAAGGTATACTGTGAGTTAAGAACTTGAAGGAAATACCATCATCCTTAGATGAAACTTTAGTAGATATGGACTTGGAGAAAGTCGGTGCACCATCAAGATATTTTGAGCAAAATGAAATTCCCTCTTCAACGATCGATGTATCGCTCAGCAATTGACCCTTCAGGTTGTGACTTATTTCCAACAAAATCCTTTATTACTAAGAAAAATCTGTAAATTATAAAAATGCACGTGAGTATACCCCACTAAGTAATAAAACCTTGAAGTAATAAGAAGGATACATTATCTCTCAAAAGGGTACATCCATTTATAATGTACAGGCCCACCAAGTCTCACTTCTTCAACCAAATGGATGAGCAAGTTGACCATGATAGTGAAGAATGATGGGAGAAAGTACTTCTCCATATTACATAAAGTCAATGCAATTTTCTTCCATTTTTTGTCAAGTTCAATTGAATTTATGACCTTCGCGCAAATGAATTTCAAGAACTATGAAATCCCAACAATGATGTTCAAAACTTCGTTTGATGGTACACATGAACTTAATGCGATAGGCATAATATCCTCAATTAGTACATGAGAATCATGGCTTTTTAAACCTGTTATTTTGCACTCTTTAATGTTAACACCCTTAGAAATGTTTGATGAATAACCCTTCGATAACTTCATATTCTTGAGAACTTCACAAAACATTATCTTATCCTTCTTAGACATGGTAAATAGAGCTGGTGGTAAAACATAACTACCATCCGAAAGAACATGAGGATGCAGTTCAGGCTTTACTCCTATTTGAACCAAATCTAGTCGAGCTTGTAAGTTATCTTTAGATTTCTCAAGGTCTAGCAATGTAGAAATGAAGTTATCAAAAATATTTTTTTTCTATATGCATAACATCTAAATTATGAGGTAATATCTTATATTGCCAATAAGATAATTAAAAAAATATTGATTTCTTCTTCCACATAGTGACCATACTTTCATTGATAGATATTGCAGCTTCGTACACTCTCTTCAGCATTTTTAACCTATCTTTATTAATTTTTCCAAGATTGAATTGATGATTATGTAACTCAGTACAAATTTCAGTACCAGAAATCCTTGAAGGCGCTGATCTGAGTTCATCTCTATTATCAAAGTACTATTTTTTCTTGTGAAATAAATGAGATAATGTAAGCCAACGTCGATGGCCCATATATGCAAATTTCTTACTCTTATACAACCATAAGGACTCTGTATTATTGGCACAACATGGACAAGCAAACCTGCCTTTGGTGCTCCACCCCGACAACATGCCATATGTAAGAAAGTCATTAATAGTCCATAGTAATGCTGCACGCATCATGAAATTTTCTCCACTTGCTGCATCATAACATTGAACACCTTGCCATAATTGTTGCAGTTCATGAATCAAAGGTTTGAGATAAATGTCAATATCATTTCCAGGACTTTTTTCACCTGGTATAATCATTGAAAGAATAAATGATGATTGTTTCATTCCACTCCAGGATGTAGTTTTGGGCAATGAAGTCCCTTCAGGAAATGCTTCAATAAGTAACTCTAATAACATATCGAAAGATCTTGCAGTCCAAGAGTTTAGACATTTCAAATGAAATAAATGTAATATAAATGACAGCTTGAGAATCTCTTACTACGATTAACAAAATCTAAAAAATCTTCAACTCCTTTATTGTATTCACGACTCCATCTTGACTTGGTTATCAAACTCTTATTCATTTTAAAATTCAACTGCAAAGAGAAAAATACATGATTCAATTATTGGTGCAGCATTTTGATCAATTAATGCAACATGGATTAATTATAGCCTAAATCTTACTTACCTAAGACACTACAAAAAAAAAATATAAACTTCAAAACCTTCTATTTGAGCGAGCAACAACGTAATTGCCTTTAATTTTTCTTTCAGAAATCAGCAAAAAATAGAATAGACCCTTTTGAACTGAATTAAATTTTACCACTTAAAATCTTCTAGTACGTTTAGATAAAGAAAATCATTTTTATCTAACATCTATCCAACAAAATGCTAAGAAATCCTTAAGCAAAATCATATACCAGTGGATAAATACGAAATTTCATATTCAACATAAAATGTTTGTCTCATGGCCAATCCCAAAAGGTAATAGCAGCAATGCTGCTCCATAAGGCAATGGAATATGAGACCAGTCCAAGAAGGAGGAACTGCCGAACCTCTAGAGATCTTTATGTGACGTTTACTTAGGAATGTACAAACATAACAGGTTTGCTCCAACAAGAAGTATGGATCTATTTGCAAATAGGATCAAAAATCTCAAACAAAAATTTAAGCTGAATCATTCCATGTCAGCTTGAGTAAATCAGAGCATTAGAGTTCTTGATAGACAATTTCTATTCAAAGCATATAATGATTTAATCAAAATAAAAATGGAAGAAATTTAGATTCTGAAGTATCAAACACAACAGATATTTCTAATTTCTAAAAATGAAACATTTATGTGTCATAGTCAAGTGAAATTGAATACGGGTGATTTTTTATCAGCTCATTTATTACCTATTTTTGTAAAACTTCTCTCATTAAGATCCAATACAATACATAAATATTGATATGATAAAATTTTTTGATACAATCTCCCATTAAGCAAAAGGAAATAAGGCATCAGATTTAGAGAAGATTGCCAATGCAAATTGTCCGATTGAATTTCCAAGCAAATTTAGGAATATAAAAAGCATTATCAACTAAATTCCATCCAAGACAACAAACAAAAGAGAAATGGCAAAAAAAAAAAAAAACACAGCAAGAAGATATCAATATACGGATTATTAGAGGAACAATAAAAAAAGCAAGAAGATGAACACAAAAAAAAAAATGAAAAAACATAATATAAATCTTACCCAACCGTTTGCTTGGTTTCAGGTATGATTCAAGAAAGAGAAGAAGTCGCGAACGATGGCGGCAAATGGAAGCAGCGGCCTCGGCGTCGATGTCTGCGTCAACGTCGTCTTCAACGTCAGTGTTGGCATCGTTCTCAATTGGAGAGAAGGGTCGCGCACGGAGAAGATCGCGAGGTGGGTGTGGGTGTCGACAGAAACGTCGATGAAGTTTTCGTTGGAATGGAAGCAACGGCTTTGGCTTTGGCTTCGGATTCGGCGTCGACGTCAATATCTGCTTCGGCGTCGGAGTGGGTGTTGGCGTCGCGGAGACGGAGACGGATTGGGAGGAGACCGATCCCGCCGGAGCAAAGAAAGAGTCCGAAGGAGCTAGGGCTTCATTTGTGCTTTTTAGAAGTTTTTCGCGGCTTTTTTATCATTCCCGCCTAAATAATTGATTCACAACTAATTTCGAAACGGTTTAAGACCGCTTAGGTATCGGGTCTTTTGCACCAGTATTTAATTTGCTGCTAATAAATGCTGAGATAGTCTCATTTTTTAGTAGTGATCCACGGCAATGCATCTTGAAACTTGTAAAGATATCCTATGTGATTGAGGCGGAGATCCATCCCAGCTACAAATTTCAGCAAAATTTATAATATTTATTAACATCTCTTTAGAAAAATTAAGATCTATGTTGCACACTTCTATTTGGCTATTATTATCTTGATATTTTTAATTTAAATTAATAAGCCCCTAGGAGTTGATGGGGTTGTTGATTGGTTTATATATTTTATTTAATAAGATTTTTATTTATATAAATAACACTATTGGGTAGAAAATACTATTCTTTTAAGTAACATCGATTACAAAATTTTTAAAAAGTATGTAATCTAACAAAATTTTTAAAAAGTAACATCGATATTTTTAAAAAGTATGTAATCTTTTCTCACATCTAATTGACGAAACTCCTCATCAATTACAAAATTTTTAATTTAGATATTTTTTTACTAAAAAAAAATTCTTTAGAAAGCAACAAAAACCCAAACGAAACCTTAGTTGCATATAATTTATTATAAGTTTAGGTATATTTGATATTCAATAAAAATTAGTGAATTATACATCAAACAATAAAATTTTAGGGGTGTCAAAATAGGTCAACAGGTCAGTTTCGAGTTCAACCCAAATTGAGGCAAAAAGGTCAAGAATGTCAACCCGGTCCCGACTCACTGACTCGTTGTGGTAGTGTGGTGCTGGATTGAACTGAGGATGCAAGGCGAATGGGTAGTGCTCCTGTGGGTATGTGCTGAGCAGCAAGCATGGTGGTTAAGTGGCCGGCAGCGAGTATTTTGGTCGAGCAGACATTGGACCAGACTCGTGAACCTAGCAAGCTGACACGCAGTCCGACTGTGTCGCCGTGGTAGCTGCAAACGTACCGCTACGGACCTAGCGCGATGTGCTTATGTTGTCGTGTCAACAACCGACTGTCAACCTACAAAGCTAGCGCGGAAATTATTAAATAAAATTTTGAGATTATTACTATATATAAAATATTTTAATTTTTTAAAGGACACTGATATCTCATAAATTTAGATGAACTTTTTTTTAAAGAGAGAAAGAGAGTAAAAGAGAGATATAGCCTATAAAGTCAAAACTAATTTAATCATAGCTGAGTTAATCACAGCCGTCCATCAGGTGAAAGGGATTTACCACAAGCTTCCCGTCCTTTAAATAAGGCATCATTCTGGCTATTTCGCTCAGTCCCGCTTCTTCTTCTTCTCTTCGCTTCTCTTCTCACCGTTCTCGCTCTTCTCTCGCTCTTAAAGCTGCGGGCTGTCTCTGACGGAATAGAAATCTTACTAGTTTTTTCTTGATAAAGAAGATACTATCCTCTTCTCTCACACATTGGCCGAATCTGAAACTATGGTACCGGACGGGTTCCCCGCCGGATTGCGAGTTTTCGTGGTCGACGAGGACTCCGTCGCTCTTAGAATGCTTGAGAAAATGCTTCTCCAGTGTGGCTATAAAGGTGTGTTTTTCTTAATCAGTTCTGGAGATTATTCAGTGCGTCTCTAGGATTCTAGGGTTTTTTTTTTC